AAAGTTTGTAGTCAAGATCTTTTGTCTGTATTCGTATATCCCTCCACTTTTAGCTTCACTTTTTTCCTATATTCTCTCGACAATATCTCTCTGTTTACCTCAAACGGAGACTGACTTTTTGGTTGTGTAATGAGAAATCGATGTTCATAATGGAGTGGGGGAAACAAAACATTGTACAAGTTGCAGATGAAGTTAATATCGGGGTAGTGAATAATGGAGGAGTTTTTGTGAAGGTGATGACAGATGAACAAATTGAAATCCTTCGTAAGCAGATCGCTGTTCATGCCGCAATTTGTGAACAACTTGTCCATTTACACAAATCCCTTACTCTTCAACACGATCTTGCAGGTTTTTGTTTCATTTCAATTCCAATTTGTATTTAGATTGAAGGTTTTGTTTTTCTTTTTTTTTTCCCCTACTGATTTTGTGCTACTTTACCATTTTTCAGTAATTAAACAATTAATTATTATAGTGTATACTTTTGATTTTCTATTTGATTCCTTGATGGCTTGTTCCGCCAGTTTTAACTTTAAATTATTTGTGGAAAGGATTTTGATTATTGGGTTAACGCTATATTTAGTCAAGGTTACTGATTTTTCCCTCAATTGCTTTTTTTTTTTTTCTAATTTAATTACACTGATCATATTATCATCTTGGGATTAAACTATACTTTTGTTAAATTATCGTTGAGAATTGTGACTTTCTTGCCTGTCAAAGTATGGATCAATTGATGAACTCAATCAATGAAAACATATATAAAAATTGGCTTGTAGTCACAACGATTTCTTGTAGGCCAGATGGCTATGGGCAATCAATTTATTCGAGCAGTACCATGATTTCATTAATCCAAACATCATTCAATTTCCTTGCATTCAGATTAAATGTTTGGATAAATATGGTGTTTTGTTCCCTATGTAAAGTGGTTTTCAACATCGTGCATCAGGGGCGAGGTTTGGAAATCTGTATTATGACCCCTTAATGACCCCTGGTGGCCATAGAATTACCGGCAGACAGCGGTGGACTCCAACAGCGGTTCAACTTCAGATTCTTGAGCGTATATTTGATCAAGGGAATGGAACTCCAAGCAAACAGAAAATCAAAGAGATAACATCTGAATTGTGTCCACATGGCCAGATTTCTGAGACTAATGTTTATAATTGGTTTCAAAATAGGCGTGCTCGATCAAAAAGGAAGCAACAGGCTGCAACACCAAATACTGCTGAACCAGAAGTGGAGACAAATGTTGAGTCACCAAATAAAAAGACAACAATTCCAGAGGATTTTCAGACTCAGCACGTCCCAAGTTCAAGGGTTGAAGATCTCGGCTTCAAGAACCCTGAGGCTAGTTCTGCAATGAATTCCGTGGATCCACCACGAACCATGAAGCCTGAAAGCATGCTGCCTCCAGAAGGCTTTTTGAAGCATGGTGGGAGTTTTGGTCGGGTGCCATGTGGAAATATGTTATCTGATCCAGGTAAATATTCTTTTCCCTATCATATAATAACAAATAGAAAATGGACAGTCTATTTTCATAGATATATGACATTTATGAATAAATATTTTTTTCTATTTTTATGTTTTCAAATATGAAATTGATTACATGACATTGTCTTCAAAATATCAAAATTTCTCCAATCTGGTACACTATTTTGATAGCGAGTAATTACACGAGAAGGCTTCATTATGTATTAATGTTGATCGAATTGCATATTGAAGCCATGGCCAGTACTTGTTCATGGAACCAAAGAGTGGATTTTTCTCCACTGTTGGCTCTCTAACATTTCAGTCATTTGACACTCAAGACTTTTTACATTTCAAGCAACTTTATGTGTTGCGACATGGACATCTTGTTTTTTGGTGCATCATCTTGCTTGGTGTGTTTTGAGATTGATGAGAGTTCTTTTCTCCTTTCTTTCACAATGACAATTGGACCGAGCATTAAAAAAGTTACACCACAATTCACTTTACAGATTGTTTGAGTGATGCAAAGCAAATAATCACGTTATCTGAAGAGAAACATTCACTCTGCAATTCAATGTACATAAGCACGTGAAAACCAGATTCTCTTAGGTCAGCAAGGATGTTTAACAAGTAGGGAAACTGCTTGTTTTATCTTGGTTTAAACTAAGCATTTTTCTCAAGCCAAAAGTAGTCGTAGGTTGTTTTCCGAAAATGTTTCGTAGTCTTTTCTAGCTTAAAATGATCTGCCTGAAGCTAAAATCTAGCTCTTTATCCAAAATTCTGCTGTGATATTTTGAAGTCTCTAGCTTTCATTTTTGTATGCTTTAATTGGATGCAGGAATAGACCACTTGATTGAAAAAATGGAAGTTCCAGGGGACTATAATTCTTACCTTCAACCTGACGACTTCAACATGACTGGCTAACAACCAATTTTCGTCATAGTGACATTTCTTCTTGACCTTGTCGACCTTTATTCTCAGAAATACCACGATCGCACATGAAATGCTGAATTTGTTATGTTGTTGCAGTGGTGATTACCATCGTACAGTAGTGGCTTTTTGAGTAAATTGAAGTTTGTTTCCATTCTTTGCACCCGATTCTTGATGATCTGTTCTGTTTTTAAGTTTTCTTGCTTTCCTTGTATTGATAAATAATGGTGGTTCTTGTTAAGGACAAGTGCTTGATTTTATATTTAGATTTTAATAAAGATATCCGCAATTTTTTTCACATACTTTAGATAAGCTTTTATTTTTGGATTGAATTTGACATATTCATATTTTAGTGTAACCATAATAGGGAAAATTGCACCTCTGGTACCAAATCTATTTTTCGATTAGCAAATTGGTCTCTAACCTTTAAAAATGAATCGTTGGTTCTCAAAATTACAATACTGTAGCGCAATCAATCTTGTACAAATATTAGTTATAATTCGTCATACAATCCTACTCATGTTTTATTGCAATTGTTGTGAAGCTAAGTTTCATATTTTTCTTCATCTTGGACAAATGTATAGAAATTTAAACTATACATGTTCAACAAGGATTGATGTAACCATTTAACGAAAATTTGAACAATTTCTATCAGAATATAGCTAGCATGAGTTGCTGTGAACTAAACAGCAATAGCCTCAAAACACTTGAGGTCCAATGGAAGTGGCTAAGGGTTGTGTTCTTTTGTATCACCTCAGAGGCACTCGTCGAAGGCGTTGGGAAATGCCTCCAACGCCTCGGAGAGATCGTCGACGAGGCGACTGAATATAACATCCAACGCCTTGGACACATTATCAAACCATTATTCTATTTTTCACTAAATAATACATATCAAAGTAACGTGATAGTTTGACCGAAACATATTATAAAGTTCAATGAGTAGTCTGAAACAAATTACAGTTAAGTGATCAAGGTGTCATTAATGACAAAATTCATGGGGGGAAAACCCTATTTTAGTTTGTATTACTTCATTTATTTATTTTGTGTCACATTGAGGACTTCAAATCTATTTATAGTTCCACCAGGTTATAATGGATGACAAGGATTAGGGGTGGGCATTTTA